ACTCTTCAACAAACAGCGTAAAACTTGATCTGACTGGCCATACATCTGCTCTCTTCCTGTTCACCGATGTGGGTAGTAGGCAATTATTTTAGAGCTTCCGCAAAAATGTGAATGTAAAGGGAAGCGGCCATTGCAGAAACTGCCCCTCTTCAAACTACAGTGCTAATGAGTCCAACGAGAGTCTTCCATATTGGCCGAGGACCATAGTGAGCTCAAGCGAGTCGACATACTTACAGCTTAGAAAAACAGCTGGCCCGATCATTCTTTAGGCGTTCTGGTCGCAGCGGCCCAAGGGGTTGAGGCTGGTGCGGAGACGGGGAATGCCATGAATGGCAGCACGCCTTGCTGCAACTCTCCTTCCAAGGCAACTCCACGCGTACCCAGCTGCAAGGCCATCTTAGTAAATGTAGCGACTCTGTAGACAACTGCAACTTCCTTGGCCCTTAGCAGCTAGCCTGCGCCCCTTTCTTTGCCTGACTTCCACTTGAACCGCCCCGCCCCTGCTGCCACTGTGCCAGCACTGCCCTCGAATCAAGTGTTCAGAGGTATCACCAGTGTAATTTAGTCAAGCGATGCTGTTCTCCCAAGGCTGCTTCCGCTGTGACGGGAGCTGCAGTTTTTGAAGAGCTCCCTGAGGGCCCCCGGGAGGGTTTTTCGGAGGGAGGGGCCGTCAGGAGGCTCCCTCGGACGAGCCCCCTGAGGTGGGTGCCTCCGGAGGGTCGTTTTGGTGGCGCTATTCCTACATCAGGGGAAGGTATTTTAGCTGTTGATCAGGAGGGGGCCTCGTTTCAAGTAGCCTGCCAAGGGCGGTCTAGCCAAGTGGCATGCAGCCAATTGACAGCTATCCATCTAACAACTAACCCACTGGCAACTAGCCAACTCACAGCCTTCCTTGTAGCATCTAGCCACCTGTACGCTAGTCAGCTGAAATATAGCAAACTGACAGCAAGCCAGCCTAAAGTGTCATCGGTGGAGAACCCCAACGGAGGAAGGAAGAGAAGGGGCACCTTGCGGCGAGCATGGAGCAGGTTCTCATGTACATCCAGAAATACGAATGTGAAAAATTGCTTGTGAATTGCTGGGCAAGTGATTGTGAAGGGTAGATAAAGCTAGTCGCTGTTCTCTCTCTGCAGCGGGCCGCGTCTCTCCTCTGTTCCACCTGCACAGCTAGCTAGGCCTCAGCTGAGAAGGGGGAAGCACTATCTGTACTTCGTTGCATTTTTTCCTTTTTCCTTACAGTCTGCTCTCACCCTCTTTCGGGGCTTTTGTTGCATGTGGACACCGAAGCCCCAATTCCGAAGCCCCAAGAGACGGCTACCTTCGTGATGTCCACAGGCCAGACACACGCACTAAACGCAACCATATACGACTTTCCTTGATGAGTTTTTCATGTATTGCAACGCTTCCCTCATCGGGTCGCTTTTGAAACCAGGGTCATTAGCGTATACATATATATTATATAATATATATATATATATATATATATGCCTTGCACGAGCATATGCATATACATGCATTTGTACGCAGTAGAGCCTGCGCTACATCAGGTGCAACGAAGATCGCTACAGTTGCAACTCATGAGGCACAGAGCGTACGATATGTTTGTGCGTGTCAGTGCCAATACACCTGTTGGCTACGACTCCGCTTCTACGTTAACTGTGCTGTGCTTTCTGTCTGTACCCCATCTAAAAGAGATTTTTTCGTCAGCTTTTCTATTGCTGTGCAGCACACAATGGAGCTGCGAGTTGCAGAATTGGTGAATGGCCGCCCTGCGGCTGTTGCCGAGGGTATTCTTGCAGAAGTATGAGGGGAAAGAGTCTAAAAAAGAAGAAAATTTGTAGAAGTTTGTTTGGTGATGCAGATAAACGCACAAGTCGAGCTTGCACTACTCATAAGTTGTATCAATGAGTTGTTGCATTTTTTTCAGGTGTACATAACCCGAAAGCACTCGTTTTATTTTAGGCAGTGCCAACTTCCACTTCACTTAGATAGTCTTTTATTTCTGCGGGTGTCAGTACTCTGAATTTCCTGTCTTCTCCTATAATTCCAATTTCTATCGACTTTTCTGTTAAAGCTCCTTCAAAACCTTCACGAAGCGTGAGAATGGCGGTATGAATTGCGTCTTCTAATTCCATATCTGAGGTGTATCTGCAGATATACAACGGAAAAACGAAACGGCTGTTTAATCAGACAATCCAACACATCTAAAGCAAGCAAAACACCTAGCGGAACTTTTCGGCTTAAATAAAACGATAAAGATGTCTCTGGACTTCTTATATCCACTTAACAGAGAATCGCCATTCACACCCCTTTAATCACTGAATGGGCCATTAAAGCAACAATAGAATAAACAAAGCAACAAGAATTGCATACAACACACAAAAAACAATATACACTGCTACTTTCTCGCCCATCTACACCGCACTGCGCAAACCTCTTGATCTGCAGGGAAAGCGCAGTTGTCTTCGTTTATTTCATTTAAGAAAGGGACAAACTCAATACGAATATGAATTGAAATCCTCATTACGACGCATCTTCTATAAAGAGATGCATTTCAAGCAACAGCAAACATGAAGGCAATTATAACTGAATGCGCCGCTGTATACAACTGCCGTTCTTCTTTTCTACGCCTTCATAACGATAAAAACAAGTGCAGGTATTATTTTATTTGCATCTTTTCTTCCTCCTCCTCTTACCGCTTTTCTAGAAATGTCTTCGCATTCTGCATATCACGACCAATGGCTGATGCCTTCCACCCAAAGTAAGCGCCGCTGGGGTCGACTTGGTACAGCTGCGGCCCCCAGTTGTCGTACCTAAACATAAATGAAACAAAGAAACAGATGCATGCATCCATGCATGAATGCATTAGAGCAAGATGCCTTGGCTAGCATGCGCAGCTATCTGGGTGAGCAGGCAAGGGCGAGGTGCACATACACGTGAGACCTAACATCCTATTTAATGATAAAACCAAGCACACAACAACATGCTTGCTTACACGCTACAATATACATATATATATGTGTATATACATATGCATGCACGCATGATACCTAGCTGGCTAGCGAGCACCGCT